AAAAAAAAAAAAAAAAAAAAGTTAGTAGTTGCAAATATTTCGAGCAGTTTTTAAAAACAAGCATAATGAGTTGCTTTTGAGAGCAACCAAAGGATGTATGGATGGTTGAATGGTGGAAGGAAGGAAGGAAAGAAAGAAAAAAGGAAGAAAAGAAGGAAAGAAAAGGAAAGAAGAGATGTACCAATATATAAATCTCCTGGCTAAAAAGTTCAACTTTATATCTAGGAAATGTCCATACATGTGGATCAACATTACCAGAGTTGTTCACTAGAATGCAGTTTATAATTTTTAGTGATGGATAAGCACTTTTAAGTATGAGGTATGCTTTGGGGCTTAATTCACAAAGTCAGAGCATATTACATTAGAAGGATTCTCAGAAGTCATCTAGCCAAATCCTGTCCATTTTAAGTGAGGTACTGAAATTGACAATCACATGAAACTGTTAAGTTAATCAACTAATGATTACAACGGTAGTGCGGTTCATATATACTGTAATATTTTACTCCTATATTCATTTAGGGCAGTACTATTTATGGGCACCTATTTCCGATATGTGGTTAAACTTTTACTCAATACTGCAGTTACTAATTTGCTGACTATACATCCAGCCAGAGAACTTCTTGAAGACATTCATGCCTTTTTTCATTTTTGTATACCTGACAAATAGCAGGTTCTCAGTAAACGTTTGTGACACTAATCCCCAATTCATATAAGCAAATGATTATAGTTGACATCAGAAAACCCATTATTGCCATAATAGTTCTCTGCCCTTGGTTGGTCCAGCTTCCAGACTTCTTATTTCCAAGACAGGTTTTTAGACTTATTTCTTACCACTAGAGGGCAGGAAATGCTTTGCAAAGGGAAAACGGTCCCTCTTGTGTTTGCTATTACTTCCCGGGAATAAATAATTTCATCACAAGAAGATTGAAGCTATCCCAGTTTAAGGTCTTTAGAAAAGCTACCATATTCTTCCCCTTTCCACTCAAACATTTTTGCTTTATTGATAAGTTTGGTTCAAGTTTATTCATTTGGATTGTTGAAATGTTTGTTCCCTTTCTTACAAGGAACCTTCTAAAACATTCTATAAAGATGCCTCGACTTGAAATGCTTTACAAACAACCCTATAAAAATTCAGTAGTGGCATCCTTGTATTTATGAGGCATCCCAAAGGCCTCCTGACATTTTTATTTTGATTAGCCTTCTGATGTAACAACACTCAGCTTCTAGAAGCTGAGTGAAATCCTCACACTTCCTTGACCTCTTATGTAATCAGATTAGATCTCGAGTCCACGATTTGTGCTGACTGCAATAGACAATCCAAACTTTTGACTGTGTTTTTCTTTTTGAATCCCCCCCTACCTTTCAAAATCACAGTCCCTTCCAGTGTGAGTGGAGTAACGGTGAACAATTCCGGTCGTAATGACTACCTCAGCGTTTCCTGGCTGCCAGCGCCCGGAGATGTGGATAACTATGAGGTGACGTTGTCTCATGACGGCAGGGCGGTTCAGTCCCTTGTCATTGCCAAGTCTGTCAGAGAATGTTCCTTCAGCTCCCTCACCCCAGGCCGCCTTTACACCGTGACCATAACTACAAGGAGTGGCAAGTATGAAAATCACTCCTTCAGCCAAGAGCGGACAGGTAAGGCTGTATGAAGGTTCACGGCTCTGTAAGAACCAATTCACATGTGGCTCAGGGCCCCACAGAGCTGTAGCAATTCTGTAATGATGGGATGAAAGGCCCCTGAGATCACAAAACTGTTATGGAGTCTTTGTATTTTAACCCAAGAAACTCCTTATGTGAGCAGACCCTGTGTGACTAGAATTTCTATTATATTCAAATAGCGTAAAAAGTATTCCCGTTTGGCTGGGCGTGGTGGCTCATGCCTGTAATCCCAGCACTTTGGGAGACCAAGGTGGGTGGATCACGAGGTCAGGAGATCGAGACCATCCTGGCTGACACGGTGAAACCTTGTCTCTACTAAAAATACAAAAAATTAGCTGGGCGTGCTGGCAGGTGCCTGTAGTCCCAGCTACTCGGGAGGCTGAGGCAGGAGAATGGCATGAACCTGGGAGGTGGAGCTTGCAGTGAGCCGAGATCGTGCCACTGCACTCCAGCCTGGGAGACAGTGAGACTCCGTCTCAAAAAAAAAAAAAAAATAGTATTCCCATCTATGGAGTACTTTTTGTTGCTAGGGCCTGGCTTTATATGTCTTAACTAACCCATATGAATGCCTTATTGAGATAGTCATTGTTATGATTCCTATTTTACAGATCAGGAAACCAAGGTTCAGGGAGGTCAAGTAATTTGCCCAGCTGTTTACCTTGTTAAACACCCAGTGTGTTTCAGATCCTGGTTTTAAACCCAGTTCTGAATGACTCCAGTGCCTACAAAGCTCTCCATCCTAAAATCCATCCTGAAATGTCTGCTGGTCAAAACCACTATTCATCCTTTTTCACACAAGGTGAAAATGTGAACTTTTATGGTTCTGGGATTAGGGAGCAAAAATCTTAGCAAAGGAAATGAATGTTCAGTCCAATGTGCTGGAAAGATTTAAATTTAAATAGCTACCATTTTCCCAATATATTTATGCTTTCTGGGGTTTATACCTGAGATTTCTGCCTAAGGTTGGCATCAATACATTGTCAAATGTTTCCTACTAAGCTATGAGTTTATTTCTGTATTTAAAAATGTCAGTTTTTCCATGAGGCTCTGGGACAATTGTCCTTATCCTATTATGTAGCACAGGACCTGGGACTGAGTAGGCACTCAGTAAATATTTGGCAAAGGAATAATCAAAAATCACTTAGATCAGGGGTTCCACCTGGGGGTCCATGGTTCATGGGAGACTTTAGGAATGTAGTAACCCCTGAAATTGTTTATGAAGTGGCTGGGGATAGGAAAGGTATATGCATTTCTTTGAGAAGAAAGAGTCCATGGCTTTTATCAGATTCTCATGGTTTCTGTGACCCCCAAAAAGCTAAGAACCTCTGATTTATATTGTTACAGGATGCTGGCATTGAAGGGGTCCTTAGAATGATCTAATCATATTTCCCCATTTGGATATAAACGAAATCCCAGAGAAGGAGTGTGGCTTCTCCAAGGTTGCAGGGCTGGCCAGTAGTGGAGCTCAGCCTAGCTCCAGTGCTATGTCTATTCCATCACGCTGTATCCTAGAGCACTAGTCAGGGATGTAAAGAGATTATCCCTACCCTCCAATAATTTTAAGCCCAGTTACACTGACAATCACAATAATGACTTAGATCTGAAAAGCAGGTTTCTATTTACAAAGCAGTCTTATGTCAGGGGTCTCTCATATTAATCAACTTGGAGTGTAAAAATCACCAGAAATTAAAGGATGTGTTACCTAACCACCAACCCCTTGCTTCCTTCCAATGTCAATTCATGATGATTTCCTATCCGTATGACTTTACTATTGCAAAGCCTTTTGCTGAGATTGATTTTAAATGCAAGAAAGTGATTCTTTATTCAGTGCATCCTCTTGACTCCTTGACCAGCATGAACTTGGACTTGGTGCATGACTAATGGAGGCAAATCATTGCCCCTGACAAATCATTTTAACTGGAGAGTCATGTCTGAGTTGTTCTCTTGATGATTTTGGCTGATTATCTTAATGCCCTTTTCCATTTCTGATGCTCTTGTTCTACACTTTGGGTGAAAATACCAGTATTTCTAATTCTGTATCACATCATCTCACTGTGTAGCAAGGCAGGTCTCCACAAATTATCCCCTGTTCCACCCGGTGAGCTCCTTATTGACTTAACGTGATATTCAGCCAGGTTTTTCTTCCTGTAATAGTTGCTTTGCCTTCAGCAAATTGCCTGGATCATTGACCTTTCTTAGCCCATGCATGCCACTTCATAATTTCCTTTCCTTAACTGTGTGATGACTGTATTCTGTGATGACTGTGATAACAACACTGTAATTGGTTTTAGGTAAATATCTTGGAGAAAGCATATCTGTCCTTGCTCCCTATCTGTGGTGAGCTATATTCCAAATGCTAATCAGTAAACACAATGCAACAAAGGATGCTAATGCAACTTGTAGGTGTGAGAAGCATATGAAAAATGGAGCTCCTATGCCAAAATACTGAAATTTCTGGATCATTTCATGATTTGAGAAAAAGTAGAGGAGAAAAATTGGACACAGTCTTGGCATGTGGTCAGATCAGAAACCCCTAATACATACCAAATACAGAGAGAGGCTGTACAGGCCTAGAGGACATGGTAGTATTGGGACAAGAGTTTAGTACCCTGGATCCGAGTTCATGCCTCTTTTCAATGCTCCTCCTCAAATATGTATAATGTCCATTTACAGTGAAATAGTAATGAATCTGTGGCCTACTGTTGAATTAAAGTTCAGCCCCAAATGGAAAAATGAAATCTCCTTAATATCATGCTCTAAATACAGAATTGCCTTATTCCACAGCGTTCCTAGTAACATGCATATATTTATGTACTGGTTGGGGAAGGGACCACAGATATACAGAGTGGTTTTGTTTATATATTAGAAAGAACCTCACATGCACAAAATTGTATTAATCATAATTCTTGGTTCAAGAAACCATGCATCCCCTCAGAGGCCGAGGTGGGCAAATCATGAGGTCAGGAGTTCGAGACCAGCTTGGCCAATATGGTGAAACCCCATCTCTACTAAAAATATAAAAAACTAGCTAGGCATAGTGGCAGGCAGCTGTAATCCCAGCTACTTGGGAGGCTGAGGCAGGAGAATCACTTGAACCAGAAGGTGGAGTTTCCAGTGAGCCAACATCACACCACTGTATTCCAGCCCGGGCAACAGAGTGATGTCTCAAAAAAAAAAAAAAAAAGGGAAAGAAAAAAGAAACCATGCATCAACTGCCACCTTTACTTTTTAGGCATCTAGTTAGTAATTTTTAATAATTTAACATGTACACAAGAAACCAACCACTACCTAAAATAATAGCTAGGATCTTGACAATAACCTACATCGAAATATGTGGTCCCCACCTCACGAATTCACTCAAAAGTAGCCAACATCTTGACTCCTATGTTCACCTCTCGCTTGCTTTCCCTCTTGCATAGTTTTATTGCATTTATATACAGGCCTAAAATTACTGGTTTTAAATTTTTTTGTCGTTTTTAACATTATTTAAAAGGTATTTTTAATGCAGTATTTAATATCAGGGATTTAGATGTTTTACTTATTATATAGATAAGATTCATCCATATTTTGTTTTGATATTAGGGACAAGAAATCCCTATTTTTGTGTTTTGAGTTAAGGAATTAATTATAACTATTATATAATATTCACTGTGTGTGTGTATGTGTGTATATGTATATATTCACTATCCAGTCTCCTGTACATATTCTTCCACACTTGGTTTTTATAGGGTTTTTTTATTTTGCCAGTCAAATGGGTATAAAACAGTATTTCACTGTGGTTTTGACTTGCATTTCCTTGATCACCAATAATGTGGAAAATCTCTTCATTTATTATGCAATTAACCATATGTGTTTCTTCTTCCATTTTTATTTTTCTTTTCTTTTCTTTTTTTTTTTTTTAATGAGACAGAGTCTTGCTCCATCACCCAGGCTGGAGTGCAGGGGCTTGATGTGATCTCAGCTCACCGCAACCTGCTCCTCCTGGGTTCGAGTGATTCTTCCATCTCAGCCTCCCGAGTAGCTGGAACTACAGGTGTGCACCACCATGCCCGGCTAATTTTTGTGTTTTAGTGGAGATGGGCTTTCACTATGTTGGCCAGGCTGTTCTCAAACTTCTGACCTCAAGTGATCTGCCCGCCTCAGTCTCCCAAAGTGTTAGGATTGGTGTGAGCCACTGTGCATAGCCTCATTTTTTTTGACGGGGATTGGGGAGATTGCTTATATTCTTCTTAGTAACTTTTGAGTCAGCAAGGTATGCTGGAATTATCTGTATCATTTACCATCACTCATATTAATCATCAGCCATCATGTTTAATGTTCCATCTTATACATGACATTTTGTGCAGGCAAACAGCAGGCTTAGAATGAGTTCATCAGCTTCTGTTAAAAGATCCGTTTAGGCGGGCGGGGGAGGGGGAAAAAAAAAGAAAAAGAAAAAAAAAAAAAGATCCGTTTAATCACTTCACATAGTGTAACAGTCTTTCCCCTCCAGAAATTTGTGATCTAAGGTCTAAGATTTTTCTTTTTAATACACACAATAATAATCTACTCTTTCTTTTTTATTGTCCCGGGTTGTCATCTGTGATCAATTACTCACTCAGAATTAATACATATTTATTTAGTCATTCTCTGTTTCCTTTTCAGTGCCTGACAAAGTCCAGGGAGTCAGTGTTAGCAACTCAGCCAGGAGTGACTATTTAAGGGTATCCTGGGTGCATGCCACTGGAGACTTTGATCACTATGAAGTCACCATTAAAAACAAAAACAACTTCATCGAAACCAAAAGCATTCCCAAGTCGGAAAACGAATGTGTATTTGTTCAGCTAGTCCCTGGACGGTTGTACAGTGTCACTGTTACTACAAAAAGTGGACAATATGAAGCCAGTGAACAAGGGAATGGGAGAACAAGTAAGTGGAATGATTGCAAAATCTGACAGTTGGTTGGACTTGAAAGTCTCTGAGTAATTTATCTGAACCTTGAATTTTTTCTGCTTATTCATTAGTACATTACATTCCCAGTAAGTCTCACTTGGCGCTAACATCATTTAGCCAAGCCATGGCCTATAATTACAGAATATTTATTGGTAGATAAAAGCAAACATAGTGAGAGAGCAAGAGAGCAAGAGGGCTAAATATCCCATTTTTCTTCCCTGTCTTCCTGCATCATGGCATTTAAATTCTAGACTTCTTGTTTTATCTTATGGTCAAGATCATAACTCATTTTATAATTATGTTCTACCAATGCTGATCATGTAACATTTATGTCAGGGAAAAAAATTACAATTTTAATAGCTGCTTCCAATTTTTCTTGTTTAATTATGCATGAAGTAGTGCTAGTGGTTTATTTGGGGGGAAGGGAGATGTTGCCAGTTCCTTGAATGTGATTCATAAATTATTATGTAGGTAAACTCTGATCAGTTCCTTTCCTGAAATGTCTTCTCATTTTTCTCCCTAGTTCCAGAGCCTGTTAAGGATCTAACATTGCGGAACAGGAGCACTGAAGACTTGCATGTGACTTGGTCAGGAGCTAATGGGGATGTCGACCAGTATGAGATCCAGCTGCTCTTCAATGACATGAAAGTATTCCCTCCTTTTCACCTTGTAAATACTGCAACTGAGTATCGATTTACTTCCCTAACACCGGGCCGCCAATACAAAATTCTTGTCTTGACGATTAGTGGAGATGTACAGCAGTCAGCCTTCATTGAGGGCTTCACAGGTAATGTGAAATACTGTTCTTGAACCTGAACAGATGCAGTGGTGTATTTAACTTTTGGGTAGTCTGGGCACTTCGATTGAGGATTTGGAAGGGTAAAAGGGAGAGAGCAAGAAGGGACAAAGTCATCTTGATAGTGACAATGATGTTGTCCAACCTGTATGAACGAAAATAAAGTATGATGTCAGTGGGAGGGGGAGTGCTTTCAGAGAAACAGCAATGAACTGATGTGATTAGCTGTTGCTTGTGAGGCACACAGATTAAAAATTGTTACTTGGAAATCACTTCTTTAGAACTCTTTTAGGAGTGTTGCCATAGTAGTTAACATGTACTGACAGTTCACCATGAACCAGACCCATAGCAAAGCATTCTATGTCTACATCTTGTTCAGTCTTCACAATGCTTTGGGAGGCTGAGGCAGGAGGATAGCTTGAGCTCAGGAGTTCAAGCACAGCCTGGACAATATGACAAAACCCTGTCTCTACAAAAAAATACAAAAAATTAGCCAGGCATGGTGATGGGTGCCTGTAGTCCCAGCTACTGGGAAGGCTGAGGTGGGAGGATCACCTGAGCCCAGGAGGTATAGGCTGCAGTGAGCCATAATCATGCACTGCACTCCAGCCTGGACAACAGAGCAAGACCCTGCCTCAAAAAATAAAATAATAAAATAAAATAAGAATCAATCTTCACAACTCTATTGGCTGGTTAGTATTATCATCACTGCCGTTTTTCCTAATGAAGAAACTGAAACTTACAGAGGTCAAGTAATTTGCCTGTAGTCCCACAGCTAGTGAGTGAGAAAACCAAAACTTGGACCAAGGCACCCTAACTAGCCCGTCGCTATATAATTAGCATTCCTCATTTCCACTCACCAGCCTTGTCTTCCCCCTAAGCCTTCCCCCATCAACTTCAGTTCACACAGAAAAATCAGAGAAAAGTGGCAAATTGTTACTTTCTTTTCCATGTGAGTTCTCTCAGTGGGTGCCAAAACATCAGAAGCATTCAAAACTTTGGTTGAAAATTTCAACAGTTCATTCTTTAAGTGATGACTTTTAAATTTATTTTCTTTTTTAGTTCCTAGTGCTGTCAAAAATATTCACATTTCTCCTAATGGAGCAACAGATAGCCTGACGGTGAACTGGACTCCTGGTGGGGGAGACGTTGATTCCTACACGGTGTCGGCATTCAGGCACAGCCAAAAGGTTGACTCTCAGACTGTTCCCAAGCACATCTTTGAGCACACGTTCCACAGACTGGAGGCTGGGGAGCAGTACCAGATCATGATTGCCTCAGTCAGCGGGTCCCTGAAGAATCAGATAAATGTGGTTGGGCGGACAGGTGAGCATCCACCTGGAGAAGGGCTAGATTGTAGAATGCCTCATGGTTCTCCAAAATGGGACAGTGAATGGGCTCAGCTATTCACAAACCCAAATTTAAACCCACCAAAGTTTGTACAATTCAATGGTTTCAAGAGCCTCACTCATTTATTCTTTGCATTTTTCTCTTAATAGAGATCTTCAAAACAAATGAAAGGGAATCAGAAACCAAATCATTTGAACAAATTTTTATACTTGCTAAAGGATAATAAAATTTTAAATTTTAACAAGCAGGCTGGGCACGGTGGCTCACGCCTGTAATCCCAGCACCCTGGAAGGCCAAGGCAGGTAGATTGCTTGAGTTCAGGAGTTTGAGGCTAGCCTGGACAACACAGCTAAATCCCATTTCTACTAAAAATACAAAAAATTAGCCAGGCGTGGTGGCGCACACCTGTAGTTCCAGCTGCTTGGGAGGTTGAGGTGGAAGAATCACCTGAGCCTGAGAGGTCAAGGCTGCAGTGAGCCGTGATCATGCCACTGCACTCCAGCCTGGGTAACCAGAGTGAGACCCTGTCTCAATAAATAAATAAATAAATAAATAAATAAATAAATTTTTATATGGAGACTTCCATAATTATGCATTTTTCAAAAGTTCTACCTTTTAAGAACAAGTACACATCTGTGCCATCTACTTTACCTGGTAGAGCTAAAAAAAATAAGTATCAAATGTATAAATAAATCTGTTTATATCAATATCACTATTAATATATTATTTTTGAAAGATCTCTAGTCATACTATAGTCCTCTTACAGATGAGGAAAGTATGGCTCAGAAAGTTTATGAAACAGTATCAAGGATACATATATAATAAGACCTAAAGCTATAATTCAAGTCTAGGTCTGTCTGGCCCCAAACCTCATGCCCTCTCCACTGTGACACAATACTTCTTAGATGCCTCCCATTCTCATGACCACTTATTTAGCTGCGGGGCCTGAGGTTTCTATACCATGCCCTACTATGCCTCTATTTCATATCTATGTTTATATCTTTATCTGCATATCTTTAACCCTATGACAAACCCTGTGTTAGAAAGTGGGCATTTGGCTGGGCGCAGTGGTTCATGCCTGTAATCCCAGCACTTTGGGAGGCTGAGGCGGGTGGATCACGAAGTCAAGAGATTGAGACCATCCTGGCCAACATGGTGAAACCTCATCTCTACTAAAAATACCAAAAAAAAACAAATTAGCCGGGCGTGGTGGTGCAGACCTGTAGTCCCAGCTACTCAGGAGGCTGAGGCAGGAGAATCACTTGAACCTGGGAGGTGGACGTTGCAATGAGCCAAGATCATGCCACTGCACTCCAGCCTGGTGACAGAGTGAGACTCTGTCTCAGAAAAAAGAAAGTGGGCATTCAGTAGCAAGGCAGAGCCCCTGACCTCAAGAATGTGATAATCTAGTGAAGGAGACAGAAAAGTAAAAGGCAATGACAGTAAAACATGGTAAGTGCTAAGATAAAAGTGGTTATGAGATGTTAGAGGAGCAAACAAGAAGAATCAGGGAAGGCTTTCAGGAGGAAGTAATATTTAAAGAAAGACTAGGAAGTCATCCAGGTGAAGTGTAAGTTGACTTGGTTCCATCAGAGAAAACAAAGCCCTGGAGGTAGGAGAAAGGATGGCACATTTGGGGACCTACACCTTATTTGGTATACTAGAATAAAGGCCGGGCATGGTGGCTCATGCCTGTAATCCCAGCACTTTGGGAGGCCAAGGTGAGTGGATAGCCTGAGTCCAGGTGTTCAAAACCAGCTTGGGCAATGTAGCAAAACCCCATCTCTACTAAAAGTATAAAAAACAAAAGTATACTAGAATAAAAAATGTGAGCCGTGTGGCCAGGTAAGTAGATAGACCAAATCACGAAGAGCTTTGTTTGCCTGTGAAGGTGTTTTGTAATTATGGAGAGCCACTGTAGGGCCATCAGCATGGGAGTGCTATAAAAATATGCTAGATAGAGTCTGCAGATTGAAAGTGTGGGAGGAAAGGACGCAAGTGACTGGTCAGTAGGTCAGCTGCAATAATGTATGGTCTCATTTATACTTGCTAAAGGATATGATATGGTTCTGAGGTAGTGGCAGCACACAGAGAGTGGCTAGATTCAAGAGATAGAAGATTTAGGATACAGAAATAAAACTCATATTTGATTATATAGACAAGGTTGAGAGTGACAATTGAAGTTTCTGACTTGAACCAAGAGATAGAGACAAAAGACAATGAGAACATTGTGGGAGGGAGATGAGGAGTCCAATTTGGACGTGTTGAGTGTTGGGTGTCTGTGGTACATTCAGGGAGAGATGTGATTTGCAAAAGCAGGAGAAACAACTAAATGTTTAAATTCAGGAGTTGTCACCTTATGGGTGACACTTCAAACCATGGACATAGATGAAATCTAAGAAGATTATGTAGAATGAGAAAAGAAATGAACATAGGACAGAAAATATTATTATAAAAACAGTAATACTATTTTGCCTTTCACTTCAGGAGCTATAGAACAAATACTAGTATATACTACCGCTGAAGTCAAGACTTGAAGTTTTGACCTTAGTTAATGTTAGTAATAAAAGTCTAAACAAGAAACATAATTCACTATCAAACCCACATTCACTGAATATGAACTTGCTCAGCATCCTTCACTTTCTAGACTCATAGGTATGCACCACTCTGCATATTTATCAGGCCATTTTCACTAACTTTTCTATCTGAGATCCTATTTAAATTCAGAGAAAAAAATGGAGAATCAAAGTAGTTTTACAGACAGGTTAAGCCAGGAAATCCTTTCTCCTCTTTTCTCCATAAGGGCACACAGAAAGTATCAATGCCACACAAATAAAGCAAACGCATCATCTACCTGCAGTTGATTCAGGAGTTTTTCTCAATTGATTACTTTACCCTAAGTGATAAAATCTGTATTTTGTTGCTCCACTTGTCTCTCTGCAGTTCCAGCATCTGTCCAAGGAGTAATTGCAGACAATGCATACAGCAGTCATTCCTTAATAGTAAGTTGGCAAAAAGCTGCTGGTGTGGCAGAAAGATACGATATCCTGCTTCTGACTGAAAATGGAATCCTGCACAACACATCAGAGCCAGCCACCACTAAGCAACACAAATTTGAAGATCTAATACCAGGCAAGAAATACAAGATACAGATCCTAACTGTCAGTGGAGGCCTCTTTAGCAAGGAAGCCCAGACTGAAGGCCGAACAGGTAATTAGCACAGCATAATGTTTTGTAGCACATATTGCCAATGTCTACTACTGTGTAAGAACCACAGGGCAAGAGGGATGACGCAACATTGGGAGATGGTATCCATCTCTTGATACGCTGGGAACATTCACCCTGATTTGCCACTTCCATGTCGGTTGCCCTATCCACACAGGACTCAGCCCACCACACTCTGATTCTGATTTTTCATTAATATTGGTGCTATTAGCTTCCTATTGCTACTGTAATAAAATACCACAATCTTAGTGGCTTAAAACCACCCAGATTTATTATTTTCTAGTCCTGAAGGTTAGAATCTGAAAAATGGTTTTTGGGGACTGAAATGAAGACATCAGGGCTGTGTTTCCTGTAGGGACTTTCAGGGGAGAATCCACTCCTTGCCTTTTTCAGCTTCTGAGGCTGCCCACATTCCTTGGCTCGTGTCCCCTTCCCCATGATGACATTGCTCCAATCTCTGCATGGGACCTTACATCTCTTTCTCTGCTCTCCTGCCTCCCTCTTCCATCTTTTAAGGACTCTTGTGATTACCTTGGTCACCAACTGGACAATCCAGGATAATTCCTTCGTCTCAAGATCCTTAACTTAATCACATCTACAAAGCCCTTTTTGCCACAGAAGGTAACATATTCACAGGTTCTGGGGATTAGGACATGGACATCTTTGGGGCTATTCAGACAACCACATTGGCCTAATTGATTGATAACTTATTTAGTCAGTACATAGGTCTGAAGGCGGGGATGGTTATGTTGACAGGGACATAAAGATAAATCAGGCATGCTTCTCGTCCTTAAAGAGCTGACTGGCGAGACAGACACATGGACAAATAATGGCAATGCATTGTGATAAAGAGTACATATAAGAGAGGGATGTCTGGCATTCAGGGAAGCATGGAGGTCAGGCAGAATTGGGACATCTTCATAAAAGTGACATTTCAATACTGTCTTGAAGGATGAAGAAATTCTTATGGAGAGAAGGTAAAATACTTCGTACAGACAGCCTGTCCTATGCAAAGGCCAGGAGGTATGAACAGGAGAAAGGAGAAGTTGTGGGTGGCTGAAATGTGTGTTGCATGATGGAAAGGTGAGGCTGAAAGCCAGATTGGAGCCAAATTAGAGGGTGCCTGGTAGCCTTCCTCAGGAGTTTTTTTATCTTAAAGCAATACAAATTTTTTAGCCAGAGAGCAATTGTTTTGTAATAACAATTTATCTTTAAAAAGATAAATCAGATAGCAATGGGGCAATGGATTGAATGGAAATGAACCAGAGGTGAGGAGATCCACCTGTTAATTCATTTATTATTGAGTACCTACTATAGGTTAGGCACTGTTCTAACTGCTTGACATGCAGAAATGAATAAAAAATTCCCATGGTCATTATGCTTATAGTCTAGTGGGGAAGAAAGTCAATAAACAAAATAAATAAGTAAAAGATATAGGAGGTTGGGTGGTAATAAAGACCAAGAAGGAAATTAAATTAGGAAATTGGGATAGCAAGAGTTGGGGCTTACAATTTTATCTATCTATCTATCTATCTATCTATCTATCTATCTATCTATCTATCTATCTATTAATGGTTATTATTATTATTATTATTATTTTGGAGACAGTGTCTCGCTCTGGCACCCAAGCTGGAGTGCAGTGGAACAATCTCAATTCACTGCAACCTCTGCCTCCTGGGCTCAAACGATCCTCCCATCTGAGCCTCCCAAGTAGTTGGGACTTCAGGAATGTGCCACTACGCCCAGCTAATTTTTGTACTTCCTTGTAGAGACAGGGTTTCTCCATGTTGCCTAGGCTGGTCTCACACTCCTGGGCTCAAGAGATCCACCTGCCTCAGCCTCCCAAAGTGTTGGGATTATAGGCATAAGCCACATGCCTGGTCAGGGGGCTTACAATTTTTTTTTTTTTTTTGAGACAAAATCTCCCTCTGTTACCCAAGCTGGAGTGCAGTAGTGCAATCTCAGCTCACCACAACCTCCACCTCCTGGGTTCAAGCAACTCTCCTGCCTCAGCCTCCTGAGTAGAGTAGCTGGGACTAAAGGTGTGCACCACCACGCCCAGCTAATTTTTACATTTTTAGTAGAGATGGGGTTTCACCATGTTGGCCAGGCTGGTCTTGAACTCTTGACCTCAGGTGATCCACCCTCCTCAGCCTCCCAAAGTGCTAGGATTACAGGCATGAGCCATTGCACCCAGCCGGGACTTACAATTTCAGGTAGTACAGTCCCCAAAGACTTCACTGAGGCAGTGACATTTGAGTAAAACTCTGAAAGAAATGAGAAAGTCATGCAAATATTTGGGTATTTAGACGCAGAGCCAATGCCAAAGCAAAGACCCTGAGTGGGTGTGTGTCTGACCTGTTGGAGGAACAGTAAAGAGGCCCATATGGCTGGAACAGAGTGAGCGCAAATGAGTGGGGGGGATGCAGTTGGACAGGTAATGGGGTCATGACATGACTGCAGTCGTAGGAGAAGGACCAACAGCTGAACGAATGCAGGGGCCCTCATGAAGAATAGTGGATACAGTCAAGAAGTATTTTTGCATTAGCTAAGGTGGCACTTGGGAGCTGGGTGGATTATAGAGGAAGGAACAGAAGATTCCAGAGTTTCTACCTAGGATGTCTGGTAGAAGATGATGCCATTAATTGAGATAAGAGAAGCAGGAGGTGAGAGGGTCAGGCAAAAATCCACAGAGTTCAGCTGTGTATTGAATTTGAGATGCCTGAGTGACTTGCAGAGGGAGGGGACCATAGGCATTTGGAAATATGGATTTGAGCTCAGAAGAGAAGTGAGCTGGACATAAAAAGATCTGGACCAGAATGCTAGTTGAATCCATAAATTGAATGAGACTGATTGCTCAGCTACGGCTATAGAATATGAAGAAAACAAAGGATGGATCCATGGGAAATAACTTGTAAGGGCCTGGCAAAAGGAGCGGAGAAAGCAAAAAGAGCCTGAGAAAGAGCATTTGAGGTGGAGAAAAGAGAACTCAGGCGAAATCAAGGCAGATGTCCTGTTCTGTTTCTACTGGCATCTTAAGCCTGCTGAGGAATCAGACAGCATCTGTGCCAGCAGTTTGCAAGGAGGCGGTTTCTAGCAGCACTTGACCTTGCCAAGAGGTAGCACAGAAGTCCAAAAGGGTTTGCAAAATTCTAACATGAAGCTTTTTGAAAAATGCTTTTGGCTTTTCCTATTGTTTCTGTTTCTCATATCACTGAATCCAACTTCCTCTTTCTGTTTGCTTTTCCCTTTCTTTCCCACCTGCTCTCTTCTCCTCACTGCATTTCCCTCCCTCATTCTCTTGCTCCTCGACTTTTCCAGTCCCAGCAGCTGTCACCAACCTGAGGATCACAGAGAACTCCACCAGGCACCTGTCCTTCCGCTGGACCGCCTCAGAGGGGGAGCTCAGCTGGTACAACATCTTTTTGTACAACCCAGATGGGAATCTCCAGGAGAGAGCTCAAGTTGACCCACAAGTCCAGAGCTTCTCTTTCCAGAACTTGCTACAAGGCCGAATGTACAAGATGGTGATTGTAACTCACAGTGGGGAGCTGTCTAATGAGTCTTTCATATTTGGTAGAACAGGTAAGACCAAGACCCAAGCAGTAATGAATCGTGGGGAATTGTCCGGGTATTCACTGGCTTTTCCTGGGTTGGTCCTTAGTTTCCTCTTCTATTCAGGATGTAGCTTTATATGACATTTGTGACTTTCAGGCTGTTTGACCCTAAATCGCACGTTTGATTATGTGTAACTAATTTGCGGCCAGTTTTTGCACTAGCTTCTGCTCTTTTGCCTCCGCTTGTTTACTTCCTAGGGCTTGGTAAAAAAATGAATGTGGTTCCTCCTCTTGACATCAAACTGTACAAGAGGGCTGTAACCCATCATAGTTTAATTCAAGCCATACCCTGCAGCTTTCTAACAAGAAATAGATGGAGAGGAGAGCAGGAGCAGAGAAGGGCAACCACAAATATAGCAAACAGGCAGTGACTGCTGTGAATTAGAAACATAGCACTAGATGAAGTGAAAACACAGAGTTCCAGGAAAGTGAGAGACATCTCTCTGGGCTGCAAATAAAAAACAGAATCTACCCTTTTCCCATAATTTGAGTCCTTTATCTCCTATTCAAAAAAAAATTTTTTTTTGAGACAAGTTCTCGCTGTGTTGCCCAGGCTGGAGTGCAGTGATGCTATCATGGCTCCCTGTAGCCTCGACCTCCTGGGTTCAAGTGATCCTCTTGCTTCAGCCTCCCAAGCAGCTGGGACGACAGACACATGACACCATGCATGGCAAACTTTTAATTTTTATTTTTTATAGAGATGGGGGCTTCCCTATATTGCCCAGGCTGGTCTTGAACTCCTTGGCTAAAGCAGTCCTCTGCCTCGACCTCCCAAAGTGCTGGAATTAGAGGCATGAGCCACCATGCCCAGCCTACCTATTCAATTCTTTTTTCTCATTTGACAATAGTTTTAGGTGCTCTTCTGTGCCAGGTACATGGCCCACTGCTGTAATATGACAGTCAAGGGCGCTGCCCTCAGAGAACTCTGGAATAGCGGGGAGGGAAGAGGACGGGGACAGATCATTAAAGGGAGATGATTTGGGAATGCCTTAAATTCTATGAAAAAAATGATGTGTCATGATAGTGACTTGGCAGGACAAGCAACTACTTTAGAGAGGAGAAGTCATTTCAGCAGAGAACTAAAGGTGAAGGGAGCCATGTGGGAACATATTCCAAGGGTAGCCAACAGAAGTTCTGTTTGTCTTTTGAAAGGAGTGAAAAAGAGCTGCGATAAGCCTCAACCACAGATAGAATTGCCTACCCATCATCATTTCCAAGGCAGCCCTTTGCACATCTTTCCTCACCTGCTCATTAATGCTTAGAAGTCCTCCAATGTGGCAACAGTCTTCATTCTCCAAAGAATAGCAAAGCTATTGGGATGGATGGCAGCATGACTAATCTATACAATGATAGGAGTGACTATAAACACTTCTCTCCCTAAATGAAGTTATACCAATACAGATTTTATAAGAGAGGGCACAAGAGAACTGAGAACCTAAAGGAGGGTAGAGAGGATGTAAAGAGACCCGGAGAGGGTTGCTATGGGATGGTGGCTGCAATGACATAGGCCATACTGGGGAGGAGCTGGAAACTTGTATACACATTTTCTGGGCCTTTTTAAATAAGCTAAATGACAACGATTTATTCATCATTTATGAAGATTTCATTTTACATGCTTATCAGGGTGCATGTGGCAAGCATCTGGAAGTCACCACCTGTTTTGTTTTAATTTACACCGTATCTCTAGTCTATACGCCCTTAAAGTTAAATGGCCTGAAATGTAGGCAAGATCTGACTATAATATGTACAACTCACCCACATGCCCAACGTAGCATATACTCTCACCTGTGGGCCAAAATGCCTTTGTTTCTGTTTTGTTCTCATTAAGAATTTTTCTTGTTTAAGTCCCAGCCTCTGTGAGTCATCTCAGGGGGTCCAATCGGAACATGACAGACAGCCTTTGGTTCAGCTGGAGTCCAGCCTCTGGGGACTTTGACTTTTATGAACTGATTCTCTATAATCCCAATGGCACAAAGAAGGAAAACTGGAAAGACAAGGACCTGACGGAGTGGCGGTTTCACGGCCTTGTTCCTGGAAGGAAGTACACGCTGTGGGTGGTAACTCACAGTGGAGATCTCAGCAATAAAGTCACAGCGGAGAGCAGAACAGGTGAGAAGCCCAGGTGCCAGTGGCCAAGGGGTGGTGGGAAGTAGCTTCCAGAGACACATTTTGATTCTGATTTTAATGACAAGAGATAAAGCCAATAATGGTATACCCTGTGCTAGCCCCTGAACTTGGGAAGGGACTGTGGTACAACAGATAAAGGACAAGGCTATGGTCCAAAAGAACTAAGTCCTTAGCTTAGCTCTATGAATCTGGTCAAGTCATTGAGCATCTCTAGGCCTCAGTTTCCTTATCTGCAAAGTGGGGATAATCATATACATCATCACTGTATGGCTATCACCAGTGCACCCTAACTGTTTTTATGTCATGGGCACACATAGATGTCTGTGTGTCACCCTGGGGTTAATCAACAAGGCTATCTGCAATTGGACATAATTGTCTGTGGATGTCAGCTCTGCACCCCAAAATCTGATGGAATTAATACCTTCACACACTTGTAACCCATTCGGAGCACACTCATGCTCCACAGCACCATGGTAAGGAAGATCTGGCTATGAATATTTAAGAAAACATATATGAGGCTGGGCACCGTGGCTCACGCCTGTAATCCCAGTATTTTGGGAGGCCGAGGTGGGTGGATCACTTGAGGTCAGGAGTTCGAGAACAGCCTGGTCAACTAGAGGAAACCCTGTCTCTACTAAAAATACAAAAATTAGCCAGGCGTAGTGGTGGGCACCTGTAATCCCAGCTACTCGGGAGGCTGAAGTGCCTGTAATCCCAGCTACCTGGGAGATGGAGGTTGCAGTGAGCCAAGATCATGCCACTGCACTTCAGCCTGGGCGGCAAGAGCAAAACTCTGTCTCAAAAAAAAAAAAAAAAAAGAAAAAGAAAAAGAAAAGGTACATAAAATGCTTGAGGACAGTGCCTTACACATAATAAACACTATTAATGAAAGCTCCTGCTACTATATTATCATATTATCTCTTCCTACAAAGTACATTAAAAGTGTGTCTGATGTTACTCAGCTATCTTTTTTGTATGTGTTATGGCATAGATGTGATTATGTGATTTTTCACTTTCTCCTATATTCAGCTCCAAGTCCTCCCAGTCTTATGTCATTTGCTGACATTGCAAACACATCCTTGGCCATCACGTGGAAGGGGCCCCCAGACTGGACAGACTACAATGACTTCGAGCTGCAGTGGTTGCCCAGAGATGCACTTACTGTCTTCAACCCCTACAACAACAGAAAATCAGAAGGACGCATTTTGTATGGTCTTCGTCCAGGGAGATCCTATCAATTCAGTGTCAAGACTGTCAGTGGTGATTCCTGGAAAACTTACAGCAAACCAATTTTTGGAACTGTGAGGACAAGTATGACATGTTTTGCTATTCTTGTTTCTCAAATGGAGTGAGGGGAAGTATATGTTCAACATCTTACTCAAATAGGGCTTAGATTAAATCCATATTTTTACATGGGATTGGTCTGGATTTGAATTCAGGCAGAAGTCTATGTAGATTTGTTCATTCATTCAACATTAACAACAAGGGACAATAAAGAAAGAATCTCTCTCTGCCCTCATGGGGCTTACAATTAGGTAGGACGTACTATTTGTAAATAGACATTATATTTTGGGTATGATGAGGGAAGTAAATGGTACTATAGAGGCACTGGTTGGGTAATCTGACCCAATACAAGAGAACTTCTTGGAAAAGGAAACATCCAAATAGAAACCTAAAGAAAGAAATTTACCAGGTAGAGGTGGGGGAAGAAGTGGAGAATATTCCAGGTCGAGAGAATAAAATATTCCAAGATCAGAGAGGAGGGAAAGTACAAGATCTACTAACAGGGGAACAGAAAGAAGTTTATTTGGCCATAGCATAAAAGGTAAGGATTAAGGGAATCACATAATAAAATGTTTTGTATTCCATGGTAACTTTGAACTTTATTTTGGATCAACTGGAGCCACTCAATTTCAGGAGAGATATCATAATCATTATTTACACTTTAGAAAGTTACTCTGGGTACAGTGTAGAGAATAGACCGAAAGAGGCAAAACTAGAAGCAGAGGGATCATAGGACATACTGCTGTATGTCCCTGAGATAAAAATACTTTGATGACGAAGCACATACCAGTTTCTTCCCAAAGGCATTTTGGGATAGATACTATCACCCTCAAAGAAAGACAGGTTTTCAGCGTAGGGACTTTAATCCAAATATTTGTGTTTCAATAATACCCAGTAGAAGTAGCTTCTGGGATCAGATCAGATAGTTATTGGTTGTTGATAAAATGCATAGTTGAAAGTTAGACATTTAAGCATTTTAATAAAGCCAGACATTTTTAATAAGCATTAATACTATAACAAGTATAACTTTTATGCCACATTGTATCCAAAGAGCAGTTATTTGTGTGTCAAAAGAAATATGTGAAAAAGAACTAAGAGTTTTAGTTTATGGCAAGCTCAGGCTGAGTTTTCAGTGGCTGACTGTGGGCTGTGTTCATGAAATCTGTTAAGCAGAGCACCCTGCACTGGTTACCAAACCCAGGGCAGGACTCTGAACACTTCTGCCCATTGCATCTGGTATTAGAGTCACCAGAGAAACATAACGCAAGCACTGGATGGAACAAAGCTTTGCTTACATAGGGAGGAGACAGAGTAAGATCAACCTCAACAGTATGCATCAGTCCCCCATGGCCAGCTGCAGTGGTTGCCCAGAGATGCACTTGCTGTCTTCAACCCTGACAACAACAGAAAACAGAAGGGCACATTGTGTATGGTCTCTTCCAGCAGCCAGTGCAGGGCAGTTGGCTAAGTGCACCACTCTCAGGCCACAGTAGAAGGACCCTGTCCTGTCTCCTCAGAGGACAACTGTAGCATTGGTGTTCACCATCTGCCATGTGACACACATGCGTAAGCAGAACAAAAGAGCATACATTGAGCTTGCAACAGGGAACGATACTCCCACACAAGGCAATGAGCCCAGCACAGGCTGTGTAGGCTCTCGATCTCTTAGTAAGAAAGTATCTTAAGCTCAAGGGCCATTTCTTACACAGCCAAACGGGGGTCGATAGACTATGCACATGAGACTGCCTTTCCCAACAGCCTTGCAGGTACTCAGTTTAAGAGCTCATATGACTCTGTTAGTGGCTGGGCTTATAGATCACAACTGGACTGTTGTATTCAGTCCTGGATGCTAGAATTTAAGTGAGGCATTTACCAAACGGAGGAGTGCCCAGGAGGACAAAAACTGCCATGGAGAGGGACTCAGTGCTGTGTTTTATGAGGAATGATGACTCGTGGAACTTGTTTTTTGTTTGTTTGTTTTTTCAAGGCTTGTATTTATTAGGATCAGGTGAGGCTATGGGTAACAGAAAATCCAAAATAGCAGAAGTTTAAATAGAAGTTTATAATTTTCATGTAAAATCATTCCAGTACTCAATTTCTCACAAATATGCTTCAACCATAATGAATGATTTGCAGTTCTCAATTTTCTACCATCCTACTCCCGGCACCTCCTCCTTTGGTACCTGGGTTTGTGGTTTTTCTCTACGCAGAATGCCTTTTTCTCGATATCTTGGCAGAGTGTCACCTCTGCCTTACGGCTTTTACTAACTCCTGCTGATAACTAATAGCCAGCAGCTGAAAGTTGTGTGTCACCCCCACATAGCACCTTGTCTCGCCATTTCTTCTAGTATGTTTTCCTTTCTGCCTTCTATTATGGCTATTTGGACTCATTTCCATTCCTGCAGGTTAGGGCTAACATCTTTCTTACCTCTGTACTGTTCATAATCCCCAAAAGAGCACCTGGCCCATAGTAGGTACTTGTTTCTCTCAACACATGAAATAAGTGTTCATTCCACTCTCTTTTTGTTTGCATGGCTTCAGAGGAGGACATAATTCTTAACTTTGCTCCTCTATAGGTAAGTTGTTTTGCCCCCTCTGGCTTCTTTCAGGAATTTTTCTTTATCTTTGATTTTCTGTAGTGTGAAAACGATATGCCTAGGCATAGTTTTTTTGGCATATATCCTCCTTGGTGTTTTCTGAGCTTCCTGGATCTGTGGTTGGTGTCTAACATTTATTTGTGGGAAATTCTTAGTCATTCTTGTTTCAAATATTTCTTCAGTTCCTTTCTTTCTCCTTCTGGTATTCTCATTTTGTGTAGGATACACTTTCTGTGGTTGTTCCATGGTCCTTGGATATTCTGTTCTGCTTTTCAGTCTTTGTTTTCTTTGCTTTTCCATTTGGGAGGTCTCTACTGATAGATCCTCAAGGCTCAGAGACTGTCCTCAGCCATGTGTAGCTACTAAGAAGTCCATCAAGGTATTCTTCATTTCTGTTACAGTGATTTGATCTCTAGCATTTATTTTTGGTTCTTTCTTAGGACTTTCACCTCTCCATTTACATCACCCACCTGTTCTTGAATGTTGTCTACTTTGTCCATTAGAGCCCTTAACATGTTAATGACTGTTGTTTTAAATTCCTGGTCTGATGGTTCCAACATTCCTGCCATATCTGACTTGTGGTTCTGGATCCTTGTTCAGTTTCCTCAAGCTATATTTTTTTCCTTTAGTAGGCCTTGTGATTTTTTCTTGATAGCTCAATACAACATACTACGTAAAAGAAACTGCTGTAAATTCGTGTTTGGTGGGGCAGTGATGAAGCATGGGGGAGGAGAAGTGCTTTAGAGTCCTACGATTAGGTCTAGTCTTCTAGCGAGCCTATGCCTCCAAGCTGTGAACTTTGCAGGTACTTCTCAGCACCCCCTACCCCCACCTGAGGTGGGACAGGATGGTTGAAGTGGCTGGGGTTGGGTTATTCCCCTGGCCCAGGTCAGTTGGGCTCTGATAAAACCCCAGCAGGTTAGGCTTTGGGTAGATTCCACTGAGGGCAGAGTGCTCTAGTGTATTTCAAAACAGTTATTTTGTTCCCCCCCTTTCAGAAACATGGGGGGATTTTTCTTCGATATTCACTGTGAGAACCTGGTTGAGCTCCTGGAGCTAAAACTCACAAAAGTGTGAAGGGCCCCATAACTAGATCCCCCGGAGTCTTTAACTATTACTCAGACTTGTCCACGCTTGTCCTTCAGCATTTCCTACCCCAGCCCTGGTTCCCTGGGAGATTTGTGCTCATGTGTCTGCTAGGGTGAGCCACGACACTCTGTATTTGCCTGTCTGTCCCTCCTATACCTAGATCTCAGAGCTAGTTGGACCCAAAGGAGCTGGAAAATAAAAAAAATTCTCCTTGAGTTCTGAAAAGTGTTGGCTCCTCTGTTCCCTTTAGAGCCTGACAAGATACAAAACCTGCATTGCCGGCCTCAGAACTCCACAGCCATTGCCTGTTCTTGGATCCCTCCTGATTCTGACTTTGATGGTTACAGTATTGAATGCCGGAAAATGGACACCCAAGAAGTTGAGTTTTCCAGAAAGCTGGAGAAAGAAAAATCTCTGCTCAACATCATGATGCTAGTGCCCCATAAGAGGTACCTGGTGTCCATCAAAGTGCAGTCGGCCGGCATGACCAGCGAGGTGGTTGAAGACAGCACTATCACAATGATAGACCGTAAGTGTCCCTGAAGGTACGCACGGAGCCTCCTGTCACCGGAGTGAAGGGGCTGTGCACCCTTCTCTATCATATCCATCACTGCCATTCACTTGCATACATTTCACTTTTGCATAAGCCTATGTGATTGCCACCTGGAGAGGAGGACTTAAAAGGCTCCAAGAAATGGCAACATTTCTCTGGGTAAAGTACCCTGACAGCAAACAAGTTAGATGATCTTAAAGTACCTGAATGAGTTAGTATTTAAATATATCACTTTGCCTCATATAGTTAGAGCTATAATAGAGCTCTTAAGCAATTTGAAGCTACAACTTCAGGAAATTCTGCTGAAGAGCTACCTCTTTCATTATGTGTAATGTGCCACTGGCAAATCACTTCCTCTGCCTGTTTTCCTTCAGGAGAGGGGGAGAGTTTCTTGATTACAGCATTAAACACAGGCGCACGCTCACACACACAGTCTGATGCAAGAGAGCAGAATCCTTCATTTTACTGTTGTTTATGCTGTGAAAGCAGAGTTGTGACCCCTCTTGGTTCCTTCCCTACCTCTTTTTCCAGGCCCCCCTCCTCCACCCCCACACATTCGTGTGAATGAAAAGGATGTGCTAATTAGCAAATCTTCCATCAACTTTACTGTCAACTGCAGCTGGTTCAGCGACACCAATGGAGCTGTGAAATACTTCACAGTGGTGGTGAGAGAGGCTGATGGTAAGTTATCATGAGTTAACTCCACTCTGAGACACCAAATTGCTTTCTCGGAGGTCATGTGGGAGATCTTTCTGTGAAAAAGTTCAAGAAACTTAAGTAGAAAATGTAATTTTTGTATCATTCACCCCATCTCTGCTGGATACAGAGAGATGTAAGGAAAAGCTGCTCAAAGCCTCTTTGGGCAGTAAAGCCTGTTATCCTCTAGGTTTAATTATTAAATAGAAGAGTAATGATAATAGCAACCACAGCGATAATAACAATAACCATCATTTATTGAGCCTTTACCACGTGCCGTGCACTGTTGGAAGTGCATTGCATGTAATGCCTTATTCAGTCCTCTTCTTTCCACCCAACCTGTTGGCAATCTCAAGGCTTCAAACTAACTTTGAAGGAACTCTTAATTTATGTATTACATTTCTTATTTATTTATTTATTTATTTATTTATTTATTTATTTTTGAGATGGAGTTTCGCTCTTGTCGCCTAGGCTGGAGTGCAATAGCGCAGTCTTGGCTCACTGCAACCTCCGCCTCCTGCCTCAGCCTCCTAAGTAGTTGGGATTAGTCCTCTTCATTACTGGGTCAATCTTGTTCACTACTCTTTTGTTCTACCATTAAACATTAATATGCCTCAACCGTCTTCACCCCTTCCTATCTCCAATGCCTCAACTGATCATACTTGCAAACCACCCACCAAGTCACAAAAAGAACCAAAAGCCTAAAAGAAGAAAAAAAGTTCATGAGAAACATTCTTCTCTTCTCCACTGAATTTTGAATAGTATGTTTCATTCTCTAGTTTCCTAAATTATTCAATATCTACCTAATTCCTAAAGATAAGAACAAAGTCTAGGGAATGGTTATCACAACATCACATGCAACCACTGAGTAAGAGCTTTCAAGCTTATCGTATCAGCATTTGTCAAACCACCTGTAAGAGTGTTGTATTTGGGGCACACCTGTCCATGTATATATTTGCTGTTGAGGTCTTGTGTGTTATTTCTCCAAAAGAGAGGCTTTTGCCTGGAATGACATTAGTATAGGTTTACCTTTCTTATATATTTTTATACTGTTTAAGGTGCTACATGAGTTTCTTAAGCATCCCTGATAATTTTGACCCATTTGTGGGTAAGGGGGAAACTTGAAACCTGACAAACTGTGAGGCAGTTTCTAGGCCAATGGGTATTTTAGGCTCACAGTATCTAACAGTCTATGTGCTTTTACAGTTTATTTAATTGAACTAAATCTGGTTATGCACAATTAACTAAATAATTTCAAGGGTCATTGGTATGTCCCAGATTTCCTCACACCACATAATTGAAGATAAATTGGTGAACTGTGGAAAGACTTTAGACTTGATTAGACTGCAATGAAGACAGCGTTTTGCTGCATGACTATAAGACAGTAACCGAAAAAGTGACACCCCAGAAAGTAGCCTTGTGTTCCCCAGCCAGACAGGCTTCCATTATTGATGTCCATGGAGATGGGCTGTGATTTCCAGGTTAGCTAAGATAACAATCCATCTCATATAAATGCCATTTATAGTGTACATACTCATGCTAAAGACAACGTTTCTTTTTAACTACTGCCAACAAAATATTTCTAAGACCCACTTATGAGCAAATTTTATTAAACAAGAATCCAGGATGCTATGGTAAACCCTCACTGCACCACACCTTGAAGCTCACTGTAAACAGTATCTGATCTCTATAGTATTTATCTTTCTACTTAAGCTTTTCTCCAGTCAGCATCAAAACTGGTTCGCAGTGCCAAAACACACAGCAGGCTGGGTGACCAGGGGAAGAGTTCTGGGAAGTGCTCTGAGTAAGGGGCCAAATTTGGACCAGGATTAAACCGTACTCAAGATAACAGAGAGCCACACGCAGAGCAATAATCAAACTGGGCATGGCACGTGGAACGCGCCTTGTGGGATGACTCTGGCCTAGGACATGATTTCTCTTATCTTTTTCCTATTTCCCAGGTCAGAGGGGTTTCCTTATTAGCTCAACTACAATGGTTATTGGCAAGATAAAGAGTTTATTGAGTGGGTTCACTCACAATGGGAGTTGTGTAACACTGTGGAGTTGTGAGAGGTGCTATCATTTAATGCAAGTAGCTACCCTCATTTTATTTCCTAGGAAAATGATGCTATATGCGTGTGTTTGTGTGTGTGTATTTTATACACACACTATTTATTTTTATGTATTTTAGAAAAAGTGAATTAAAATTAACTTTATTAGGAGAATTTCATATCGTTCTTTGAGATTGCACAATCTGTACTTTGGAAATGGCCAGAGATAGTGGATGAGGAGGCAGCCTTAGAAACCTAATTTAAAATCACTGAAATCACTTAAGTCACAAGAAAGGCAGTCCTTAACTGTGGGTTTTCTCCTCCAGGCAGTGATGAGCTGAAGCCAGAACAACAGCACCCTCTCCCTTCCTACCTGGAGTACAGGCACAATGCCTCCATTCGGGTGTATCAGACTAATTATTTTGCCAGCAAATGTGCCGAAAATCCTAACAGCAACTCCAAGAGTTTTAACATTAAGCTTGGAACAGAGATGGAGAGCCTAGGTGGAAAATGCGATCCCACTCAGCAAAAATTCTGTGATGGACCACTGAAGCCACACACTGCTTACAGGTTAGATGTATTACCACTGTTTTGCTAGATGGAACATGCTACATTACGAGGCACTCAGCTGTCTGAGCATCTGATGCATGTGAGCTTCCATAGATTAATAACCTACGTTAGAAGAGTAAACTCTGCATTTTACTGGGTAATTTGTGAAAGTTGGATTCCTGCCTCCACTTGCAGGTAATGTGTCAAAAGGGACTTGAGCACTATGCAAAAGCTCCAATTCATTAAGGGAAGAACTGAAGGTTCTTAATAGATTGTTCTCTCTTCTACAACTTTTTTTTTTTTTTTTTGAGACAGTCTTACTCTTGCCCACACTGGAGTGCAGTGGTGCCATCTCGGCTCACTGCAACCTCCGCCTCCCTGGTTCAAGCAATTCTCTTGCCTCAGCCTCCCGAGTAGCTGGGATTACAAGTGCACGCCGCCACACCTGGCTAATTTTTGTATTTTTAGTACAGAGGAGGTTTCACCATGTTGGCCAGGCTGGTCTCCAACTCCTGGCCTCAAGTGATCTGCCTGCCTCAGCCTCCCAAAGTGCTGGGATTACAGGTGTGAGCCACCATGCCCAGCCCTTCTACAACTTTTTAAATATGAGTCCAATACTTTACGTTGCTCATTATTGTAAAAATGTCCAAATAAAATGACTGAGTTTAGGGAGATCCAAACAATATGAAGCTATATCTTCTACTTATAATGTGAACTGAAATTATACTCACTTATTTACCTTCTAAGGCATCTAAAGATGGAAGTGCTCTTTGGTCCAGACAGAACTCTGGAAGGCAAAGGCCCCTGAATGAATGGGAACACCTTTTTTTCCCCATGGAGATGACAAATGAAAAGGAGCAGCTGTTTGGCTTTGGCTCCAGGAAACATCATTGCAGTACTAGGCCATTCTGCCCTAGGAATTGGCAGTGCTCTTGTTCTGCACTGTGTTTTCAGAAGGCAGGTACAAGCAGAAGTATACAACATCCTAATCAGCATTCTCAAGAGAAAGGGAACCTAGGCTACTGTCTTGGTTATAGAGCTACTGACACCCAAGATTATTACTTCTACAGAAGTTGTACCTTCTCTGTTGGGTGTTGGAAGAGCTGATACCCAATCAATATGGCAGTAAATTAGGTTTTCCATGGGCCAGCATCCATTCTACTTTGTTGATGCTGAGGGCTTATTGATTCTCACATATTTGAAGTATCACTCCTAGGTCTCAGCCGAAAAAAACTCTCCTGTCAGTTCCAAAAGGAGACTATGACATAGCATTACACCTGAAAGAGTTCTTAGCTCCTCCCTCACATCAAACAAGTCAAGACAGATGTTTTTCCTAAAACAAAACACTTACTTTTGGCAAGAACTCTGTATAGCTACCTTTACCCAGGGCGCACCAGACACTTACTGTTACCTCCCAGGCAAGGTCGGCACCTCCAGATTAAACACACATAAACTTTTTAGTGATACTTACTTCAAAAAGAGACCATATGAGCCTACCTTAAGGAAACAATATTTCAGAAGAACAAGAGAGAAACAAGAAAGATTAGAAAACCAGGATTTATCAGTTCCTGTAAGAATCAAGAGATGCGGCCAGGAGTGGTGGCTCACGCCTGTAATCCCAGCACTATGGGAGACTGAGGTGGGCAAATCACTTGCGGTCAGGAGTTCGAGACTCGCCTGGCCAACATGGTGAAACTCCATCTCTACTAAAAACATAAAAGTTAGCCAGGCATGGTGGTGCACGCCTGTAATCCCAGCTACTCGGGAAGCCGAGGCAGGAGAATCGCTTGAACCTTGGAGGTGGGGGTTGCAATGAGCTGAGATCATGCCACTGTACTCCAGTCTGGGCGACAGACCGCAAGACTCCATCTCAAAAACAAAAAAAGAGGCCGGGCGCAGTGGCTCACGCCTGTAATCCCAGCACTTTGGGAGGCCGAGACGGGCGGATCACAAGGTCAGGAGATCGAGACCATCCTGGCTAACACGGTGAAACCCTGTCTCTACTAAAAACACATTTAAAAAAAATTAGCTGGGCGCGGTGGCAGGCGCCTGTAGTCCCAGCTACATGGGAGGCTGAGGCAGGAGAATGGTGTGAACCCAGGAAGCGGAGCTTGCAGTGAGTGGAGATCGTGCCACTGCACTCCAGCCTGGGCGACAGAGCAAGACTCCGTCTCAAAAAAAAAAAAAAAAGAAAAAAAAAGAATCGAGATTCCTCAGGCTCCTTGGTTACTTGGGCTCAAGGAAACTTGAGCAAAAGTCACCTAAGGGCTATTTTCTTTTTGAGTTGGAACATTGAGGCTGATTTAGTTTGTTTACTTATGGAAAGGGAAGGGGTGAAGATAACTCATTACTATATTTCAAAGAGAGAGTAAGAAGCTATAAAAAATTTGTGTCTGGACCAGAGCCCACCAATCTCCCAGCACCCATAGTAGCTGTGGAGGTCTTTGGAAGAGCACCTGCATTTGAGTTCCAACTCTGCCACTTTTTAACTATGTATTTTAACTTGTAAGCAGCATTTCAGTTCTCTAATCTTCATCTTCCTCACCTGCAAAGCTCCATAAGGGTGTCCTAAGTAGTGGTTTTGAGTATGTGACAGATCAAACCTAGTCATGTCACTTCTAAATTAAGGTTTTCCTGTAGTTCCCATTCACTTACAAGAGCAAGAGCAGATTCCAGCACAGGGCACACTAAACCCTGCTTTCTCCTGCCTCACCAGCCTTGTCTCCAACCATATATGCTCTAAGTACCCACTGCTTTCCTGCTACTCGTCACTCCTCGGAGTTCCTGAATGTGACATGGTTCTTTTATACCCCTGAGCCTTTGTATAATCTTTTCTCTCTCAGATGCTTTCCGTTCTTATCTGGCTGGCGAATTCTCCATACACTTCAAAAGCCAGCTCAACCCTCAGCCACCCACTCTATCCTGTCAACCCACAGCTGGGCGGTTGGGTGCTCCATCAGCTCCATGTCCACGTCCACAGCACCGTCTCCCTACATGCCTCTAATCCTACATTTACCAGTGGCTTTTAACCCTTTATCGAATTACCTGCCCTCTTCAACTAGACTGCAAGAACTCACAATCCAACAGGGGAGACAGATGTGTCATTGGTTACAAAACAATATGGCAGGTTCCTGGCACAAAAGATGTGCTCGTGAAATGTTTATGAACAAATACGGGAATGAGCCAAGATGCTCTATGGAAGTAACACATTCGTGTTATGGCTTCATCATCTCTGTGTACATGTTTGTTTTTCAGAACACAGCTTTCCTATATTTCTCCAATATATATGTTTACTTCAGTCCTGTTAAAAGCATGCCAGACAGATAATGCTTGATGAGAGGAGGTGTCATCTCCCAAAACACATCACAGAACCACATGCAAATCAGCCTCTTGTGTGGTGGCTGCTGAACTCAGTCCAGTCAGAATTCTGCCTGTCTCAAGACAATCATCACCAGTCACCCTCCTTGTTGTTAGGCATCCTTTTTTCCAAAGGGAATAGGTGGACAGGAAATAGTGTAGAAAAAGAATAATTAGGATTGAGAAATGGGAAATTCTAGGTTTTGCTGATACGCAAGTTTGTTATGTCAACAGATATAATGTGTTTCATTCATTGTTGGGTTCCTGTGATTCATATGTATTATTGCATTGTTCCATATGGAAAGAGAAAGGGCAGATCATTATGGTGAGAGAGTTGGAAGGTTAGGAAAGTGCTGGTCTGGTTTTGTTTTTATTCTAAATAAAAGAGCAGTGTGACCATAGTAAGGTGGTCAGCTTCTCCTGACCTCGTTTTCTTCAAAGGAAGGAAATTGAACCGCATGATCTCTAACTTTCTGCTATAGAATTCTAATTCTAGACACATTTAAAGTGGAAAAAAATTCTATCAGATATTTGTTCACTAAAAATAGTGTCTTGTTATTGTGTCATATTCATAATTATCTTGCTATAATATATTCAGCATATGTTTTCTTGCCTTCTCTGGCAATAGGTGTTGTTGGGTGGTAGATAAATAAGGTGGAGCACTGCCTTCAAGGAGCTTACAATGTGGAGACAGAAGCCACATCTGCAAAATAGAGGCAGAAATGTTGAAGGACATAAGGAATAAAGGAAAATAAATGCTGTGAAGGTTCAGAAGGCTTCTCAAAGGATGTATTAAAACATAGGAAAAGGATTTAGAAATATGCAGATAGTGACAGAAGGAGATTCAATGTGGAAGGAATAGTGGGAGTCAAAGTGTGGAGTTTTAAATACACAAATTGTTTAGAGTAGAACAAATAGTCCAGTTTCAAACAGAGGGTGAATAAAAAGGAGTAGACTGGGATGATAGGACGAGATAGGACTGTGGGTGGGTGCTAAGTGCTGGGCTGGGGAAAGTAGCTGTGACATTCATTTTTGGAAAAGTTTTAAGGGAAGAATGCCTGATGACCCATTAATTTTAAGCTGAACCTATACTAGGTCATTATCTCCTTCCTAAAGGTCCCTTTTATCTGCATCCATTCAGTACTTTGTATTTACACTTGTGATTTCAGAGCAGAGTATGTCAAGGTTGTTATAGCCAATGCTTTTATTTTACAGATGAGGCATAAAGAACTTTAGGGACCATCCAAGTAGCCAGCAACGGAGTAAAAGTGAGAACTAGATCTCAGATCCTCTTGTACCTAGCCCAGACTTTTTTCATCCTTCCTACAAAAGTCATGGCGTGTGTGTGTGTGTGTGTGTGTGTGTGTGTGTGTGTGAGAGAGAGAGAGGGAGAGACAGACAGACAGACAGACCGAGAGTCTTGCTCTGTTGCCCAGGCTGGAGTGCAGTGGCGTGATCTCAGCTCACTACAACCTCCACTTTTTGGATTCAAGCAATTCTCATGCCTCAGCCTCCCAAGTAGCTGGGACTACAGGCACGCATCACCACGGGTCTGGCTAATTTTTGTATTTTTAATAGAAATGGGGTTTCACCATGTCAGCCATACTGGCCTCAAATTCTTGGCCTCATGTGATCTGCCTGCCTTGGCCTCCCAAAGTGCTGGAATTACAGGCATGAGCCACTGTGCCCAGCCAGAAGTCATTGCTTTTAACCAAAAATTAAGCCATGAGGAAATAAGAAAAGAGATCTGCACTAGGAGCCAGAAATATGAAGTTCAGTTTTTGTTCATCATCTTTCTGTGTGATCTTGGAGAAGACATGGACTGTCTCCTAGCTTCAGGTTCCAAACCTCTGAAGTAATATAATAAACTTCTTTATTATATTGGAGAGGTTGAACATGATCAAACAGAACCATGTTTGAAAAAGTCCTTATGGCTGGGCGCGATGGCTCACACTTGTAATCCCAGCACTTTCGGAGGCCAAGACAGGCAGATAGCTTGAGCCCAGGAGTTCAAGACCAGCCTGGGCAACATGGCAAAACCCCATCTCTACTAAAAATACAAAAATTAGCTGGCCATGGTAGTGTGCACGTGTAATCCCAGCTACTCAGGAGGCTGGGGTTGGAGGATCACTTGAGCTCGGGAGGTGGAGGTTGCAGTGTGCATTCTGACCTGGTGACAGAGTAAGACCCTGTCTAAAAAAAAAAAGAAAAGAAAGAAGAAAGAAAAAGAAAAAAAGTCTTCCCACACTTATAAATACGAAGCTCTCATCAGAGACACTGAATTTCCAAATGTATAATAAATTAGTAACATACTTGCCAAGGCATTGGTGTTATAGTGGTTAGCATAGTTGCCTTCCAAAATTAGCAACACACACCAACTCCTCACCTTCCCCTTTAATGTGTGGTGATTGCTTGTTACCCTTTGTGGACCTTTCTCAATATACTTCCATTGACAGGCTGTTATTCCTGGAAGAACATCTTTTGACTTGGAATGGATCTTTTGGAGATGGAAGTTATAGATGTGATTTATCAATATGATCTTGATGTTCATTTTACAGGATTACACTCGGATCTGGGCATGAGTTAGAAGAAGTGGGCGCAGGGCAGAACAATTTGCCCTGGCCTAGTACTGCTTCAGCATTATCACAGGACATGCCCAGATACCTCTGGGTTCAAGAAATATAGATTTAAAAAAAAAAAAAAAGGAGTACTTCTGGTCACTTTCATAGAATTGAAATTAACACTAGAAAAAGTTTTCCCATATAAACCAAGCCTAATACTCCATCAGTTCAATTAGAGAATCTTCACAATAGGAGGGACTCAAGAAGTCACCCAAGCCAATCTTTAACTTAGTGCAGCAATGCCCTCCTCCAGCTTCCCTGGGACTGCTTCTCCTCCAGCCTCTACTTGAATCCCACCCCCATCCTCCAGCCCCCAGTGACTGGGAGCTCACAATCTAGGAGGTAGCTCATATTCTAATGTTAGAAAACAGCTTAATATTCCTAAACTCCTCCTTCCTTATAAATTCAGCCTACTGAGCCTAATTCTACCTTCAAGAAGAAAAATAATCATGTTGTTTTCCTCTTCTACACGGCAGCCTTCTTTAAATCAGAAGCTAACTATATTATGTCCCTTAAAGTCTTCTCTATCATTGTTCAGGTCAATCACCTCAAATGATCTCTAATTCATCCTAAAATATGCCCCCAGAAATTGAGTGCAGCTCTCCAGACTGGGCCTGACTTACGGAGAGAGCACGAGACTTAGGTCCTGTGATAGGGATCACAGGCTTCTCATTCAAGCAGAGGTTACAAATCTGTGTGTTTGTAGCTGCATCTTGCTTGTTTATTGAATTTAGGACCAGCTGATTTTCAGGCACTATCCCACATGGACACGTGGACAGCCATCTCAGCAACTCTCGTGCCCAGGTGACTGCAATAACTCCAGTGTCAGCTGGACAGTTCTAAATCAATGCCTCAATGTCCCTCTAAATCGAATATATCCCAAGCAAAGTATATCTTCCTTCACCAATCTCTCTCCCTTTTTTTTTGTTTTTTTTTTTGTTTTGTTTTGTTTTTTGAGATGGAGTCTTGCTTTGTCACCCAGGCTAGAGTGCAGTGGCATGATCTTGGCTCACTGCAGCCTCCACCTCCCATGTTCAAGCGATTCTCGTGCTTCAGCCTCCCAAGTAGCCACGATTACAGGTGCCCGCCACCACGCCTAATTTTTGTATTTTTAGTAGAGTTGGGGTTTCGCCATGTTGGCCAGGCTGATCTCCACCTCCTGACCTCAGGTGATCTGCCTGCCTTGGCCTCCCAAAGTGCTGGGATTACAGGTGTGAGCCACCGCGCCCAGCCTCTCTCCTCATTTCTATCAGTGTTCTCACTGTTCTCTTGAGTGACGTGAGCTCAAGTCTTAGGCCATCCTTGATTCCTCCCTGCTTCTCTTCAGTCTGGGCCCCACCTAGTTCCTCCTTTCAGTGCCTTTCACAGTCTTCTTTCCATTCTCATTGCCAGGGCTCCTGGCCAGGGCCCTGTGTCCTTGGCCTGATTATCCCAGCAGTCTCTTCATTGAGCTCTCTGCTCCCCGCCACCTCACCTCCTATGCCCACACACACAGTTTCCTCCATATTCTACTATTCCTCATTTGCCATTGTTTATATGCTTTCTTCTTTTGCTATTTGGCTGATTCCTTTATATTTTGTCTTTCAAGTTTCCAAGACTAGAGACCATGCATCTCTTTGTAACTTCAGCAATTTATAAAGAAGGCCTTTAACAAATATTTCCTGTTGACAATAAATATGATACTAGAATATATTTAGAATATATTTAGATAAAATGATCTTTAGAAAATAGTGCCAAAAGATGAAGAGATATGTAAGTTAAAATAACAACAGCAACAATAATAATATTGCTATTTGGTCACTTGACTTTTCTAATGGGCATCTCAGAATTACTTCCCCCACAACTGATCTGTCTGGATCTTCCCAAACCCCCCCGTTTACTTCTCCATAGTTTTCCCTCATGTTAGTAAATGACACCTCCATTCTTCCAGTTGTTCCTCAGCCAAAACATATGGAATCATCCATACTCTATATTCATTAACAAATTTAGTTCTTCTTTCGATATATCCAACACTTCTCACTCACTGCCTTCATCACTACCTTTCTGAATAAAGCAGTCCCACATGCTGTATTCCCATTGCTTTCCATCGTCCTTACCCTGCTCTTTTCTTTTTCACAGCACACATCTCGTCTGATTTATTATATTTATGTGTTTATTATCTGACTTCCTCCATGAGAATGTAACCTCTGGAATGGCAGGGACTTTGTTTTGTTTCTTGCAAAGTCCCAGCTCCTAGAACAGTGATGGGCATGTGGCAGGGGCTCATTAAATATTTATGAATAAATTGATGAATGAATGTATGAACCCAGGACTATCTGATTCCATAACTCATATTCTACCCTGCTACACACTGACCAGGAACCCACCCTATTTCTCCTTGAACACATTTTTCAGCTACTGTGTTCAACAACTAATGTATATTTAAATAAATCGGTTTGCTTTTCAGAATCAGCATTCGAGCTTTTACACAGCTCTTTGATGAGGACCTGAAGGAATTCACAAAGCCACTCTACTCAGACACATTTTTTTCTTTACCCATCACTACTGAATCAGGTAAGGCTAACCTTTACATCATGTTCTATCAACTGCCATATCACCTACAAGAGCCTCTAATGGAGAGATATTGGCTGATGATGGGGGAAACATTTTCATTTGGAACTGAATCTTTGTGTGGCCAAAAATTGATGTGGATCAAAGGGATTGCATAATTTCTCTAGAAGAATGGATTGAAAGGGAATTAATCTAAAAAGAAGGTGGAAGTACAGTATTTTTTTCTATTAAAAATGAATTATTTTCTAAATAGTGAATGAAAACCATTAAAAGCAAGAGTTTTCACAGGCGGAAATATAAGTTAGTACAAAAGGCTTTCAGTTAAAAATGAGAATGTATATATGCATATACACAGAAATGCTCAGGAAAAAAAGACTAAAAGAAAAAACACCAAAATATTAATGATGTGTATCTCAAAGTAATGGAACTACAAGTGATTTTTCTTCCTTTTGCTTATTATGTGTTGACTTTGTACTATTAAAAACTGTTGGCCCAGCGCAGTGGCTCACGCCTGTAATCCCAGCACTTTGGGAGGCCGAGGCGGGCGGATCACGAGGTCAGGACATCGAGACCATGCTGGCTAACATGGTGAAACCCCGTCTCTACTAAAAATACAAAAAAATTAGCCAGGCGTGGTGGCGGGCGCCTGTAGTCCCAGCTACTCGGGAGGCTGAGGCAGGAGAATGGCGTGAACCCGGGAGGCGGAGCTTGCAGTGAGCCAAGATTGTGCCCCTGCACTCCAACCTGGGCAACAGAGTGAGACTCCGTCTCAAAAAAAAAAAAAAAAACTGTTAATGTAAAAGACTATACATAACAATTTCTGAAAGAGAGACTTCTCTAGTATGTTAGAGGGAAAGCCTGAGTAATAATAGTGGCTAGTATTTACTGTTCACCTTCTCTGTGGAGACACAGTTTTAAGCATTTTACATAGAATAACTTGTCCAATTCTCATGACAGTCTTTTGAGGTAGATGCTATTATCATCCCCATATTAAAGATGAGGACATGAGGCACCAGAGATTAAGTAACTTGCCCAGGATGGTGCAGCTGAAATTCTGGCACTTTCTGCCCAAGCATACAACCTCTGCACTGCCCTGTCTCTGAATACTTCCACCAGGCTGAGAATAGCGTCATTTCATCCCCTTCCTTCTTAACACCATCGTCTGCACAGCCTTTTGCTGTAGCCCGTGTTCTGCAGTGCTTGATCTCTAGGTCTGGGAAGTTCTTTACAGCTAAAACCATCTCTCGTGCTGCATGACAAAAGATGACTCAGCCTCACAAACATTCCAATCTATTTATGCCAAATATAGGGATAATCTCCCACTTTTCAAGCCAAAGGGGGATGAGAACACAGTTAAGCGGATTTAGATGTCTTTACTTATAATTTAATGTAGGGACTTTGTAAACACAATTCTTTCCTTTTTGATATGTTGTTACATGACAAAAACTGCATGTAGTCCAGTACAGGAAGACAGTAAACATATATTCAAAAAATGATATTAACCACACTCAAGGAAAGATGATTGTGTTGATTTGATAAGTCTTGAAAGGCAACATGGAACAAACAAATCTAAGGTCTTAAAATGCAACTTCAAACATGGGCCACTTCACAGACCTAAATTTAAGGGGTAACACAGTAACACTTTTACAAGAAAACATAGGTATAACTCTTTGTAACCTTGGATTAGAAAATAGCTTTTAAGATATGACACCAAAAGCATAAGCTACAAAAGAAAAAAAAATAGACAATTTGGATTTAATTAAAATAAAAAGCTTGTGCTTCAAAGGACACTATCAACAAAGTAAAAAGACAACCTACAGAATTGGGAGAAAATATCTGCAAATCCC